AGCTTTTTTTGTTTGTTTTGTTTTAGTTGAGGTTTTAAGGGGCCCGCAACTGCATACGGTCATAATGATATGAGCGCCAAGGGGTGGATGTCAACAGAGAAGTACTTACAGGAAATACGACTTACTCTGCTCACCTCTCTAGCTTCAACAGCACAACGTCTGCTTCGACTTTCAATGCACCCCAGAAATAGCTTGTCACAAGAGTACTACAAACATTCAAAAGAAGTAGAGAAAAAATGACGATAGTAAGGATTAGGAAAGAAAAAGCAGCAGCTCTCTGTTGAAGTTCAGGCGCAGTTATGAGCGTGACATTGATTAATCAGCCCATTTACAATTACAATTCTACTGTGCATAAGAACATAGTTAATGTCCCCCCTTTGGGAATGGCCTAAAGCCTAAAGACACTTCAGTCTGTAGCACCGCCCCGGGGGGTTCATTTTAGCAGTGAAAACTCAAGGTCTTTCATTAAAAACATTGTAACAAATAGTCTTCAAACTCATTTTCTGATCTTCATAATTTAAGAATTAGACTTCACTCAGAGTTCCCACCATTCATGTAGGCTACTCATAGATTACTTGCAAATTTTTTCAAGCAAGACTGAAGCAAAGAATTAAATGTGTTTCAAGTAAAAGTTGACAGAAAAAGGGAGAAAAACTGATGTGGACGTATACAGTTTTCTTGTATTTGTGTGGTTTTGTTTTTAAAAAAAGGGAGGAAAATCCCAACAAACTTTTGTGCTCACAAAGCTTCAATGATAAGCACGATATCACAATTTTCAACAATTTTAGATTATGTTGGGCAATAAACAGTGTTGCTCTTAAATTATTTCAAAATGCTTGTGTGGTCAAGTATAACTGGTATAAGTAGCGCGACATAAGGTAAGATAAAACACAGTTCTTTCCCGTAAAGGAGTAGTTATACATAGCCCCCAGCGCGATAGATGACTGGAGACAAATAGACCAATTTCTTTTTCTGTTATCATCACGATTTGTGAGAAAACTGGTATCAAATTGAGACAGCATCAACATTCCCCATTGGCGTGTACTTTGCCAGTGTGCTACTCGCCATGTTGTCTCCGTCAAGGCTATTGAAACGCAACCTACTTCTGGTTGTCCCAAATACAGTTGTTTTATACCACCCTGCCGCTTTCCACTGCATTTCAATCTTAATAGAGTGATAGATTTAAGGAACATGCACCCATCATCCATGTATGAAAAAAATGGGGGGGGGGTGTTTAAAATTAGTTTTAAAAAGAAAAACTTTTCAAAGGGATTTAAGCGTGTGAATTGACAAAAACGTTGAATCCGCCAGTAAAGCGTCTTCTCCAGATCTTCATTGTCTAAACCTCAAAGAATTTTAATGTTTCAGTTTCAGGCTCGAAACATCTGTTTTTAAAAATGTCTGTGACGGAAATCCTTAAGATCTTTGTTCTCGCTCAACAGGGCTTGTTTGTGTTTTGCGTGTCCACTTCTACACCCCATAAATTGTGTTGAAGTTATTTTAACCAAGATTTAATATTGATGCATGAATCTGTTAGTCGAAATAAAGCAGCAATAACATGGGGACATCGTTATTAGCAAATTAGAAATAGAACTTTGACATGACACGGTCCAACACTTTACATGGAGCAGTATGTCTTGTCAGTAATTCTCTGTCTTGTCAGCGTTTTCAAGCACTTGCGAACGGGGTTCTGGCTACATACTCACAAGACTGACTAGTCTGTGGCCTTCGCATGTGGTTCCTCTTTTTGAGTAACATAATGAATGTACATACCAAGTAAGTATGTCTCTGGGAATATTTCCATTGGCATGGATGGTATGAAGCAGGTTAGTCAGTTTCTCCATTCCCTTGTCAACAAGTGCTTTATTGTGATATTTCCATTGGGATTAAGTCATGTCCGATGCCTTTGCCTTTTTCTTTTCTTATGAATCTTTCAACATCTTCTTGTAGATATGAAGGTTTTTCCATGGGTTGTTCATTGCCCGCTGTAAATAGAGATTTAAAATTGTAGCATGAATTTTTAAATATTTGAATAGTATTAGTATGAAGTCCACGGTACATGCAAAGACAAAACTTAGCTCAGATTATGGACTAGGTCCAATTAATTTTAACGTTTTATTTACAAGTATTTCAGTTAGGCCTACGTGTGTTTTAGGGCTATGTCAAAATTCTCACTTGCTTTTAGTTTTGAGTGAATGTTAAATTGACAATATTATAATAAGATAAAATTATGTATTTGGTTGTGTCTTCTATTTATGCTTTAGATTATTATTTCTATTCTGTCGTTGTGGGGTTATGAGTTCATCAATGACAGACAGAGGGGAAGATGTAAGTGAAACGACACAAAAAGTTTCTGATGCTCGATAACACTGAGGCTCCCGTAATCATAATATCATTAGTTCATGTTTTATGACTTTACAACGCCGCCAGTTTGGGAAACAGCTGGGTTTTCTCTCTAATTAGATTTATCTTTTAATTGGAGCAGCCAAAATGAATACGTTAAAAAACAGAAAGAGGGATTTACGGTGATGAACTTCCTTTTTAGCTCTAACAAATTTAATCGGACGTGCGCCGGGTATAGATCTATAGGGAATCGCTTTAACGGCATTAGCTCATATCTAGAAGACGTCACTTTAGCCACATTAGCTCTTATCTCGGGTTTTTGCAGTTGTCAAATCAATGTCAATGCAGCTACGACTTTGACACGTCAACCCACTACCAGCTTTAGTGGTGTAACGATTAGCTGCTCATCATCGCACGCAGTAGATCTGAGTTCGATTGCCTTATGTGCAGTGTCAAGTTAATTAAAATAATGAAATAGATGAAAGTGGCATTTTCCACTAGTAGGGCAATTTTTTTTTTTTATCGAATTCAAATTTTGGCTCAGCACCTCTTTTGTCCATTTAATAACACTTTTCTGCTTGGATTTTAGTGAAACAAGTTGACCTTAGGCACAAAAAATGTAACTTTACTGTTCCAAGTGCCCTCGGGCTTTAGAAGTCACCAAAGACTACACCTCTGAGTGAACCCCCACTTCTTTAATCGCAATGATCTCGACTTCTATTCAAGACAGACTGGTATTTAAAAAATCAAAAGCGAATCAAAGAAACAGGGTTGACAAGGATATCAACAGCTCCATATTTCCCCAAAATTGACGAGCGCCTGATTCACCAATCCTCTTCTCTCCGTTACTGCACACATGTAAATTAAAATGTTATCTTCACTTCAAACGACCTGCTTCTACTTTCTTTTATTCTAACTCTGCCTTGCATTGTATTCTGATATCTCCTATGCTTCATTAATTTTTCTGCAGCTTTCATTGGATCAGCAAATGTGTGGTGATGGATAGGTTCTTCGCTAAATAAGGGGGGTTCAGATCCAACGCACTAAAGATTTTCTATCTAGTACCTTCGTGTCCCTACCGGACGTAACCTACACACTCTTAATAGGCTCTTACAGACATAATGGAAGCAGCTCACCTCCAAAAAGATCTAGACTATGTCAACAAAGGCATTAAACACTTCAAAAGCACGCTTTCATTGGTGGAGAATTATGGCGTCAAAAATACCACTCCATATTTTCTGATGGAAAAATTGTGTCGACACCGGAAGACCGCTTTTCCAATATAAACCGTGAGCAGTTTCCAGTAGGCTACAACAAGAGCAGATCACTGACGCTGCACTAAGTCCCCACAAGACAAGATGAACGCCGCTGTAGTTCTCGTCCTCTTCTCCGTCTTGGTTGCGACACAAGCAAAACGTGAGTACTTCTTGGAAAACTAGAACTTTGACACGCAGTAGAGTTCCGTTAGTGTTGGGTTGCCAACATCCTTTCAAATTTATTTAGAACAAGGTGGCTTGAAGCACACCAATTTATAGCCAGAGGATATCAGTCAAGTACTATGTGCACTACTTTTGACGGACTACAGAGCCATTTAGACACATTTCGCACCACGCGGAGTCTTATCTCTTACAACTGAGAGAATGTTACACCATTCTATAAAAGCTGGTGGTCAAATGGCTTAAACGTCCACTTTTCTACGATCGCCATGGACTAGAATCTACCAGCATCATGACCGGAGCAACGTTAAAATGACCACCAACTCGGAGAAGAGAATGAGTGGGCAAAATAATCATATATAAGGTGCCAACCATTTGTTCCTTCACACTAAAGCTCTGTTTGTTTTTGTTTCTTAACGACACTTTATGAATACCTCCCGGTCGAGAAATTATTATATAAATGAATGCATGTTACCTTTTCACCTCATAAATTTTCGAGAACTCTTTTCTTTCTATTGCTTGTCTCATTTTTGACCCTCCAGCGGACCCGGATGTGTGCGATGTGATCAAGGTGGAAAGTTGGAACTACAAGTATGCCGAGAAGGATGTGGAAGATGCCACATGGGTCCTCAACATGACGGTCGTCGATCAACAGTCCGCGGCTAAATGTAACCTGGGCGAATCCTTCGGCTACCAGAAAGCCACCCTGTGGGTGGATGACGGCTGTCGTGCCGACTTCAAAGTGTGCTATCTGGGTAGGGATACAAATTCATTACGATAAGCAAAATGTAAGACGCCGACTATTTTATTATTGTGTTATTGTTTCCTCAGACAAAGTCTACACATCCTAAAAGTGCTAGACCCACTGCAAAACCAAGGACTCCGCCTCACTCTGGGGCTTTCCGCACTTCTCCGGTGGAGAGCCTCCAGGCCGAGGCAAACATACCATCACACACACTCAGATGCACACAGCTCTTACTAAAATACGCAATTAAACAAAGCTCAACACCAGAGAACCCAGCACACGACTGCATTTTCAAAACAAACACAGACACCATAGACAAATTCCAAAACAACGAAAAACTCATCAAACCCTTCGGCCTCAGAATCCTTGAGGACTTAAAAAACATACACTTTTCCAAACAAGACATCCAACAATTTGTTTTCCCCGACCTCCTTCCTTGGCACCTCACCAAGGCAAAAGTAGACTTACAGCTGACCACACACGACAAAGCAAGCACAAACACGGAAGCATTTAAAGCGGAATACAAAAAACTTATAGAACAATACCCCGGTGCGGAGTTTATCTTCACAAATGGCTCCAAAAAGGACAATAATGTGGGCCCCGCAGCCCTATCTTCAAACAGTATACACCAAAGGAGACTCCATCGCGAAGTCTCCATTTTCTCTGCGGAGGCCACTGTCATTGACATGGCACTGGACTCCGTAGAAAATTCTCCTAACAAAATTTTCCTTATCCTTTCTGACTCGCATCACCTCACTCACAAACTACACGCTCCTACACCCAAAAGTAATTGGGCTACAACAAAACATACACGCCTTGACTAAAACCAGAAAAAATATCGTGTTCACGTGGACCTAGCCATGTGGGCATCTGAGGAAACGAGCAGGTAGATTACCAGGCGAAAGAATCTTTATCCCTTCTGTTGAAATCAACGACGAACACTCTGGAAACCCCCCCCCCCCAGAAACAAATAATAAACTTCACAACATTAAACCCAAAACTGGGACCGCGAAATCCTTCGGACCTCTCCAGAAGAGACGAAAACATTTTTACTCGATTACACATCGGACACATGGCCCTGACAGACAAGTACCTCCTTCAGGGAGACGAGCAGCCGTTCTGTGTCGGATGCGAAACACATTTTACCATTTGACACATTTTAACCGAATGTCTAGACTTCAGAGAGACTCGAAGGAACCATTTTAGATGCAAAAAAATTGCAAGATCTGTTTTCCGTCGTTGTTCCCAACACAATTTTAGATTTTATGAAGGCCATTGGCGGGAAATAACAAAATGAAACAAAATTGTTTAAAATGTTTATGTTATTTAGGAAAGTTGTCTCAGATTGAAAATACATAGAACTGTTGCGAATACAACCAACTTGTGTTTCGCGCGCTCATATGACCTTATGCGCCGTAAAAACCCATACTTAACTTAAACTAAAAGACAAAGTCTCTGTTAGCAATTCTTTCGCAGCGACGTTTCCTTAATGCTTCCCGGTTGAGAAAATATAGATTGTACCGTAACCTAATGATTACCTCGTTCCAGAGAATGTAGTTTCTTCTTCTTTTTTTTTCTTCTAATTATTTCCTGCCTCATTTCTGACCCCCCAGCGAGCTCGACTGAGTGCAGTGTAATCAGGGCGGAAAGTTGGAGCTACAAGTACTCAGAGAAAAAGGTGACGGGGGCCGCATTGTTCATCAGCATGGCCGTTGAAGATCGGCAGTCCGAGGCTGGCTGCAGTCTGGATAAATCCTTCGGCTTCTACAATCAGAACTCCACAGTGTGGGTGGATCATGGCTGCCGTGCTGACTTCAATGTCTGTTATGTCCGAGGTAGGCAGACTCATTCGTTTGTGATGTCAATTAAGCAAACGCCTTCACGAAATGTGAGGCAACCTTCTAGAACTGGGAATGTGTAGTCATTTGGACATTTTGACAATTTTCTACTTTGGGTAGTCTGCCCAAATTTGTGGAAAAGCACGAACTGAGAAAAATCTGTTCAGTTTCAACATGACTTGCAATTATTTGCAGACCAGTTGGTCTTACATCACATGGAACCGCGGGCTCGTGTTTTCATCTCTAGCACTCCGAGCTTTAGAGTTGTGTTTATTACACAGCACAAAATCACAAATGAAATAAACAATCTTTTTATAAAATAACGTTAACAAATTTAAAAAAAAAAAAAAGCCAGTGAAATTAAGGACAAAAGCTATGGAATGTATAAACGTTGGATGGTGAAAGGGAAAGCACGGAAGTAAAAAGGGTCTCCAATGCATAGGGAAAATAGTTTGCTCCTCTTCCAAACTCATGTGCCTTGGGAACCAACTAAAAGGGGACTAAAATGCTTAAGTATTTCATATTATATCTTTTGTCCTGGTGATCAAATTGTTATGAGAACGAAAAGTATAAACTGTCCCTGCTTTGCAACTGAAAATGTACATTTTACAGGAAAGAAAAGTTATAAAGGATTATTAGAAATACATAAAAAAATACATATTTGTATCCTTTACTTCAGTAAATGCCTTTACCAAAATAGACACAATGTTATGATGTTATATTGTTATGGAGAACCCCTTTGTATAAATTACATCAACTCAAATTCGAGATGAGCCGATTTCATGTTTTCGATTCTAGCTCAAAACTAAGTTAGCGATACATTCCCAAATCTAGCAGAGCGCGTCACAATGATTTAGCTTTAACTGTTAGCTACCTATCAACTTCTAGGGGACAGTTTCGATTCAAGTGGTCGTACTGCTTGTTGCCGCCTAACGCTTACTTTTGTTTTGGCAAGGTTTTTTTTCCACTTACTTAAGCCTGTCGATCGGAGAATTTCGAAGTTTTCACAATGTGAAAAAACCATACGTCCATGCGCAATGCCTCGGTACTTTCTATTTCTGTTTTTTTCCCATCCAAATAACGTATTGATAAACATGAGATTTTCACGTTTCGTAAAAAAGCTCCTTTTAAACTGTTATTTCAGTAGTTGTCAGTAGGCCTACTACAGAATCCTGTCATATTACTTTTCACATCCTTGACTGTTGCCTGATTGTGTCAATGGTTCCATCAGATGTATACTCAAACCAACAAACACACAAACAAGCAAACAATTGCCTTTGAATTGTAACGGTAAAATATGGGCAGACAATGTACTAACACTCTAACACACAGTAATTTTGGTGTTCTTCAGGACGGATAGTGGGAAGGGGGGGGGGTATTTTATAATTGTTTACTCTCTAATGATAGGAAAAAAGCGGGGGAAGGGGGGGGGGGGGGCGGTTCACAATATTGTTTCCGTATTTGGAGTTAAGGGGGTCACTTTATTTTGTTTCTTGTTCTAGGTTTTTTTTTTGGGGGGGGGGGGGGAAAAGGGGGGGGGGGGGGTTAAAAAAAATTCCCCCCCACCCCTTTTAAAAAAAGGGGAAAGGGGGGCCATATTTTGTTTCTTTTCTAGGTTTTTTTTGGGGGTGTTGGAGAGGGGGGGGGGGGGGTTAATACATATCGACACGACATCGTTCAGAAAAGAGGGAGACTGGCAGTCAGAAACAAGTAAAGAAACATGCCCTTCTGTCGTTGCCATCCAATAGAGGTGCTAGCTATATATTATATCGATATAATGGTACTCGTGCAATAAAACTATGAAAAACGAATGGTGTTTGCTGGGTAGCTGTACATTGTTTATTCACGCTTTCTGTTTCATTTGTGCATTCCTTCCTTATCTTTACTTCGACAACTGGATCACCAGCTCCATCTTTATCCAAATGGCATTATTATGTTCTCAAAGATTTTGTCCCTCCTATTCTTATCCACTACTGAATGTCCAACTCTATGTACGGTCTCCAGGCAGCACCAGCAGCACTACTGTAAACGTGAGCAGCTGGAACTACAAGTACGCCACCAAGGCTCTCCCCTCCGCCTCCTGCATCTACTCCATGCAAGTGGCCAAGCAACAGTCCGCAGCCGCCTGCACTTTCGGAAAAACTTTTGGTTTTGTGGCCAATACCATGTGGGTCAGCGATGGCTGCAGAGCTGACTTCAGTGTCAGCTATTACTCCGCTTAAGCTTTCTTAAATCCGTCATAGTCCATTGACAAGTTTTGTTTTATTAAAATATTAATCGGAAACAACAACACTTGTTAAGTGTGTGTATTTCTTTCTTTACCATGACATCCGTCACCTTACGCTCAAGCATTGTGACAGTCGACTTTATGTGACACTTTTGTTGCTTAAGGAAAAACAATGGTGTACAAGAAATGGTACTTGCATTTTGTATATCGTATGGGAAATTATCTTTGGTTATATCCCGAGAAAGATTAGGATATCATTTGTGGGTCTTTATTTTTCTCCCCACCTACCTCTCACTAGACTATACTACTAATGTATTTCAATTACAGGTGCTTTTCAATAGAACCTATAACTGCTAGTAGAGGAAGTTGTCTTTAGATAAAGACAGAAAGTTAATACCCTTGACTCCACGTACGCTCCGTTATATGGCCAGTAAAAGAATTAAGTAGGTGAATTATGGACTTGCTCTTTATCATATCCTAAATAATGGCCTGCACATATATCTGTATAGATCAATGTGGTGTTTTCTTCGTGTAAGTGTTTTTACCCAGTCATCGACACATCTTAGATCTTGAGGCAGGCTTCCGACCAATCCTGTCGGAGTTACATCTCCTGAGACTACTGAGAGGGATACAACATCTAAGCAGAAAGACGAGATACCGGGAATCGAACTCAGGTCTCCTGGGTGCAACAGCGAAACCCCTAAAGGTTCGGTTACGATATATTGCACACACACTGGATGGTTTATCGATTATAATACAAAGTGTTATGTGTAACCGCAAAATTGTACACACATTGGACGACTGGACGATAATTCGGAGACTTGGTCGAGAAATCAAGAGCTACTTGATATTTTTTGTGCGATCTCGGCCAGACTATGGGGAGACGTGCTGTGGCGTAAAATGGCTGTAAAATCTGCCGCCGCGCAGGATTAAACTTACAGCGCAAAAAAAATGAAATAAATGATTATAGCAGCTAAAAATTGACTTCACATTTGGAATCAAATAAGCAAAGTAGCTCGTGGAGAACCTGATTTGATGAGACATTATGTACGCTTTAGCAATTTTATTGCATCAAGGTCACCCGGAGCGTCAAAGCTTCTACACACAACACAGAACAGTATGGCCACCCTTTTTTAAAAAAAAAACACTGTTCTGCTATTTATTAAAATGTACAAGTCCAGCGAGTGTCTGTGGAAAATTGAATCCAAAGACTACAGTAATACACCATTAAGAGATAGAGCATACGATGAATTTGTGTTATTTTTTCAAAAATGTTATCACGAAACAACAAAGACGTATTGTGATTAGAAAAAACAAAGACATGGCTTTAAAAGCCTGTCTTTTGTCCAAATAAACACCTCTTTCTTTATTTTACCAAGCAGCAGCACATACAGTGCAAGCAAACGGCTGTCGTTGAAAAGAGATGTTGTGGCTTTATGACGAGGAATTTCCCTGATCGAAAGAAAACTGAACGATAGACTGGAACGGGTAAACAGGCTATACGGTTCGATAAAATGGACAGTTCTAGCACACAACAAATCTGACACAATTTATCGTTTCGTGTACAGCCCTGCTTAGGGTTTGCTGAGCACAACGGTTTTGTTTTTAATCAAAATTTCTCCCAGTTTTCTCCCAGCAACTTTGTTTAGTTCTTTTGTTGTAATGGATTCTGTTTCTTAAACAAAGCTCTCTTAATAGCGATACAATCATTATGGCGAAAGTGATGACAACTATTCCAAAGGAGTTTACATTTCCAGACAGTGGCAAGAAATTTGTCAGTTTTTGTTTGGTCTTTTTATCGGCAGCTTGCACTGTAGACTTCCTGAGAAACCAAGATTCAGAATGTTTCTGAGTGTTCTAGGGACTGCTGGGGTAATGCTGCAAGTACTAATACTTGTTGTACGCGCAATGAGCATGATGTAGAGTGTGGGTATGTGCTAAGTTAATTATGATGTGCAATTATTATATAAATTGGACATGTACTTGGAATCGATTGTAAGGTCAACGTCTTTCATTTCACAGTTGAAAGAACAACTGTATTCTCTCTCTCTCTCTCTTTCTCTCTCTCTCTCTCTCTCTCTCTCTCTCTCT